TCCACCGTTGGACATAGGCTAGCCCACTGAATTTCTCGCTGGATCTTCTGAGTGGCGTCGCGATTCCGATCCAGTGGTAGATTTTGGGAAGCACTGCTTTTGCTAGGGCTAGTGTTAACAAATTCTCTCAAGCTAAGCCTTAAGATACAATTTGACTTCTTCAAAATAATGTCATGCGTATAGAAGCCTCCTCGTGTAGCATGTCCTTTCATATGTTTTGTCTCATCTTGCTAAGTAATTCTCACTAGAGATGATTCTTCTTTGTGCATTCAGAAATAGTGCAATTTACTCACTTATGTGGGTGGTACAATTTATGTGGGTGGCGCATTTACGTTGTAGATGTCTATGGGCTCCAGTAACCACTTAATATCAGGTGGGCTGCGAGCTCGTCCACCCATCTAAACAATAAAAAAAAAAAAAAAAAAAAAAAAAAAAAAAAAAAAAAAAAAAAAAAAAAAAAAAAAAAAAAAAAAAAAAAAAAAAAAAAAAAAAAAAAAAAAAAAAAAAAAAAAAAAAAAAAAAAAAAAAAAAAAAAAAAAAAAAAAAAAAAAAAAAAAAAAAAAAAAACATTCGGTAAAACTTTATCAAACCCCCAAGACTTTCGTGATGATGGTGACCGTGTGTATGGCAGCTTGTTTCTGCATGATGTGTGGGTTGATTTTTGCATCTAATTTATCTATGTATTTCTGTACGTTTTTGGCTATTACTCCGGTTGCTCCTATTACTATTGGTACTATTTCTGTGTGTGTTTTCCATAATCTTGTTATTTCGGTTTTGAGTGCATGGTATTTACTTAGCTTTTCTATTTCTTTTGCTCCTATATTGTAGTCTGAGGGAACTGTTACATCTATGAGGTATGTTTTGTTGTCCGTTTTGTTTATATAAATAATGTCTGGTCTATTGTGAACTATTGTAACGTCGGTTTGAACCGGTATCTCCCACATTATTTTTGCACCTTCATTCTCCCTAACCTGCGGCTGCGTAAGGTGTTCTCGCCACCACAGGTCGGAGACCTGAAACGCATGCTTTTTAGCTAGCGACCAGAAAACATATGCACTATGCACTATGTTAACATAGTGCAACTATGTTAGCACTATGTTAACAATATATTATATTATTGTGTACATTTATTTATTTATTTATTTATTTATACTTTATGCACAAAACAAAACTTGTACACAGGCGGACTTAATGCCATGGGCATTCTCTTCCAGTCGACATTCATGTATATCTTAATAAAATCGCCAACAGAAAACCATGTAATAAGTATTTTTTTCGAAATGGTTATTAGTATTTTGGAAATAGGTAGTTTATTAATACGAACTATATGAAACTTTGAAACAATCCTACACAGTTGAGTATCGTACAATGAAAGTATGTAATGAATAGCCGAAGTTGTTCAAAAGTAATATGGCACTTACTATTATGTATCAAAGTAACGCTTTCTTTGTGAAAACCTATAGTTATTGAGTTGCGTGTTGAACGCAACTTTGGACCGAAATCAGATTTTTGTTACAAATAAAAATATGTTCATGGAATGTTAGGTACTATTTAACGTTATTGATTTATTTGTGGAAGAAGGTATTTCTGGTGGCCCGAAGGCCTTTCCAGCTTCACCAGGACTGCCCGAGCGCCTCCGAAGGAGATCTAATAGCCCAAGGGGAAATTGCTTCGCGAATGAATCTAATACCAGATAGGAATCGCGATCATAATCCGTTGAGGGCTACCACAGGTCAAAGATATCAGCAATATTTTTTTATTGCTTAAATGGGTGGACGAGCTCATGGCCCACCTGATGTTAAGTGGTCACCGGAGGCCATGGACATCTACAACGTAAATGCCGCCACCCACCTTGAGATACAAGTTCTAAGGTCTCAGTATAGTTACAATGGCTGCCCCACCCTTCAAACCGAAACGCAAAAGTAAGATAGATAATGCGAATGCCGCTATCCATTTTGAGAATTGTTTAATGGATATATTATTTATGATAATGTAAAAGCTGTTTCGCCCTTCAGACTGAATCGCATATTTACATGGTGGTAAAAATGAGCAGAGTAATAGTACCGATCCGTGCGTGCTCACAGTACGCCTGATCATCGGTAAAGGCTTCTGACCGATCCTCCTAAGCCAGAAACACCATTAAGATAACTAGAAACAGATCTGATTTAACATTTTAGATTTCCAAATTTCGCTCATTGGACGAACATTAGTATTAAATGATAATTAATAATAAAAATAAATACTTAGTCATCTGGATAGCCTCATGGGTCTAGTGGTTAAGGACCATGACTACCGTACCACGGTGTCCGAGATCGATTCCAGCCAGGAGTAGTTCCTTCTGAAGGATATTTGTGTTTGATAAAATCTGGGTGCATTTACTTTCTTTTTTTCCTACCTATGCTGGTAGCCTTGAGAGGCTATGCCAGCGTAACCGAGCAAGTAGGTGAGCTCACGGGGCTCAAACTTACCGTCGTTAGCCCTTCATCGCCACGGGTTCTATGAGGATGATGACGATGATGATGAGGATGATGATGAATGTGTTTGAGGTACCTAAAATTACCTTTAGGGGGTGGAGAGGATCCGAAGTCACGTCGTATTTACAATACTCATTACAACCGAGTAAATTCTTATTTGGGGCTGTGGATGCTGAAGTAATTTTAATAATTGAACTTACGTTATATTATATTAAATAATCTTACAGTATAACATTACTAAATACTATCTCTATTCCAGAGAATCCGAAGAAATGAAACTACGGTCTCAAAAATCTACTAACGTATTTGTATAAAAATATATTTAAATTATTTAGTTTATGGTTATCAGATTATGGTAATGCTACAATTATGGTTACTACAAGGCGAAAGCTTAATAAAGCTCAACACGAGTCCACGTTTTAATTTGGATAAAGGTTCATTAGATCTTTATGGAAATTACAGTCTGATTAATGTTAAACGGCTGTAGGCTTTACAATGTTTTAAAACAGTATTTTAATGCGAGGGTTCTTTTCTATTGACCTACTGGCGCCTTGTCTTTATAATAGCATTTTTTCGCTAGAATAAGCAGACAAATTCACGGTTCACGTAATGCTAAGCGGCTGTCGGAGTGCTTAAAGAAATTCAAAGGGGTGGCAGCGGGTTTTGCAGATACTATTTAATTAAGATCGATAAATACTAATAATAACCTTATTAAACAATTATGTAATAAAATTATTACGTAACACAATACATATTTAATAAATAATACAAGATTCCTTGAACACTAAAACAGAGATTGTTAAATCACCGGAAACAACCATCAATCTTACATTAATAAATACCTACACCTATTATTTACTGAACTACTGACGGACTATTTATTATATAAAGATTTTCATGTTTGAGTATTTCTGGAATGAGAAACAATTTCACAATCTATCATAAAGTTAAATCCTTACCTCAAGGTATTAAGTTCGTAATTCCGATAGTAATTCAATACCAATTTTCGAGTAGTATAACTGCAATATAAACCCGATTTGTGAAATTGCTGAATTTCAATACTACTTCACCTGTGAATTGTGTGATTCCAGAATAAAATTTCTTTTACACACAAAAACAACAAACAATTCTAAGTCTTTGAAAGCAATTTGCATGAGCTAGATAAAGATGAATTATTTCGTAGAAAGGAGAACGGTAAATAAAAAAAAAAACGTGTGGCACTCGGGAACTGCCGCGGTAATGCTATTGCATAGCATTTTTTTATCAACTTATGCAATTATAATTAGACAATGATAATTTAATATTAAAACAATAATAAAACAAGACCACGCTTTATTAAACATTAATAAAAGCAAAACATTAACTGTCCCCTTCACACTCATAAGCTAGAGCGCGCGAGAGAGAGATGGGCAGACTTTTCATGATGCGCATGCAGTGTTACGTCACGCCACAAGCTTATTCACAAACACTACACAAGCGCAACGTGTGAATGTGTTGAACGCGAGCTACATAGTAGGCGTAGTGGGGGAGTCAGGTTATTTTCGTTACGGAATTTCTTGATTCAGTCGTAGCGCTCAAAGTCCGCGATAAAATCTATACAATAGCTTAAAAAACTCATCTAACTACAAAACGCGTAACAATACGTTTCCCGAATGTATCATGCTAAGGAAAAGAAACTTGGTAAATTCCTTGAAAATTCAACTCGATCAATATTCCGTGCATCAAAATCCTGCTATATTCAAATAAGGTAACCTACACGGAACCCACAGACCGCATCAAATGCTCAAAATGAAAAGGCTTGGCATGCAAAATGAATACGAAATTGGAACTAAAAAATCGTTCAACATTCAATAACGTATTATTCACGCAACGAAACGAGACATTTGAAATTGCTATACATAGGAAACTCATACGTATTCTATTCAACCAAAAACTGTTTTCCTTGTAACTAAATTTTGGAATATGTCGTTTTGTAGTAAAGAATCGGCTAGATAGGATATTCGTAAAGTACTTTATATCAGAGATTTTGATATTTTTTTTATTGCTTAGATGTGTGAACAATCTCACAGCCCACCCGGTGTTAAGTGGTTACTGGAGCCCCTAGACATCTACAACGTAAATGCGCCACCCGTCTTGAGTTATAAGTTGTAAGGTCTCAAGTAAAGTTACAACGGCTGCCCCACCCTTCAAACCGAAACGCACTATTGCTTCACGGCAGAAATAGGCAGGGCGGTGGTACCTACCCGCGCGGACTCACAAGAGTACCACCAGTAATTACGGAAAGTATAATTTTGCGGATTTGATTTTTATTACACAATATTATTCCTTCACCGTGGAAGTCAATCGTGAATATTTATTGAGTACGTATTTCATTAGAAAAATTGGTACCCGCCTGGGATTCGAACACCGATGCATCGTTTAACACGAATGTACTGGACATCTTATCTCTTAGGCCACGACGACTTCAGTCATCACATTATTGTGTTGTAAACTCTTCTGTTTATGCTTAAAAACATTTGCCAACAGGATGCTTCAGAACAAGTGGAGCCAGACGTAAGAAGCACACAGCCATATTGCATGCATGCCGTCGACCACGAATTCCGGCATTTCGTAAGGTCTACCCACATTGATAAGAGCATCGAAGCTAAAAGAAAGGTTGGTATATAATTACGACATTAACAAAACAGTTTTAACAAACAATCTTCGTTATACCGACACCACACTGCTCGCTTCAGGACTGCAGAGAGAGTCTACGATCTCTAGAAAAAGATCTGAAGTAAACTAGTGAAGTTCTGAAGTAAACTTACTGGTGGTAGGACCTCTTGTGAGTCCGCACGGGTAGGTACCACCGCCCCGCCTATTTCTGCCCTGAAGCAGTAATGCGTTTCGGTTTGAAGGGTGGGGCAGCCGTCGTAACTATACTTGAGACCTTAGAACTTATATCTCAAGGCGGATGGCGCATTTACGTTGTAGATGTCTATGGGCTCCAGTAACCACTTAATACCAGGTGGGCTGTGAGCTCATGGCCCACCTGGTGATAAGTGGTCACCGGAGCCCATAGACATCAACAACGTAAATACCGTCACCCAACTAGAGACATGAGTTCTAAAGTCTCGGTTTTCAGTGCATCAGCTACCCCACCCTTCAAACAGAAACGCATTACTGTAAGGGTAATGTAAATAAGCAGGGTGGTGGTACATACTCGTGCGGGCACGCCCTACCGCTAGCTTTCATATATATATAATGTAATGTAACATACATACTTACACATACATTACATTATCACAACATTATCATCCCAATTTCGTCAAAGGACATCTCAGATTACATATCCTTTCATGTCAATCTTAACGTGAACTTGGATTGAGAGCATATCAAATTGTGGCGGAAATGAAAGACGTGAAATAAGGAAGAAATTCAGAGAAACAATGTAAACAGAAATAAGCCGTAGAGCATAACATAACATGGGGTGGGATTTCTTTTATTTTTGCTTCAATCGGTGAACAATCCATTTGATATTAAAAGGTTAGTGGAGACCATAAACATCCTCTGATAGAAACAAACATGATTGAGGGGTTAACTGCAATTCTAATACGTGTTTATAAGAATAAATAAATAAATATTTACTAACAATCACGCCACATTAACTGGTCCCGTGCTAAGTTCGTAAAGAACTTGTATTACAGGTACCAGATAACGGAAATAAATGTAATAATTTTTATTATACACATACATATATTTAATAAACATCCATAAGCCTGGAAAAAACATTTGATATATATCATGCAAATATCTTTCCTTGGCGGGATTCGAACCCGCGACCCCCTTGTGTAGTGACCATGTCACTTACCACTACACCAGACGGCCGTAAATAGAATATTAATTGAATATTAGTGTCGTCCGTAAAACTGTTAACAAAACTGTAAAATATTCGAAACCTCGAAAAATTTTGTTATAATTGTTCACGAATACAAACTTTATTTCTAGGTAATAAGGATGCTGTTTGTAATAATACTGGAGTTCTTCGTGTGCTGGACACCGTTACACGTTATTAATACGGTAAGTTGCACTAAAAATATGCATCATACTTTTTATATTAACACATTGAGGCACGTGCAGAAGGCGTCATGACCCGTACACATTATTTGTATAATATAGGAAGCATAGATTGACTAACGAGGTTAAGGTCACCTGATGTTCTGGTAACAAAATCTCTGTTTGGGTGCGGGCTGTATGGGCCGATTGCTGATATAAAGAAAACTTGCACTTTGTGATGCAATAAGGTTTATTTGAATGTTCATACACTTGATATTTTATTAATATGATAAACACTTCCGCTCGCCGTGAAAAGTAAAAAAGGAGGAGACTGACATCAACAATGTTGCCAGTCATGTAATTTTATTTTCCGTGCTAAAATGTTGGAGTTGCCAACAATCCTTTAGTCACAACTTTTACTATGGTGAACCTTCCACCAGGTCTCCACGCGGGCTATGTAGGAACACCAAGATGGTTAGTGGCCAGCCACTGACAGATTCCAGAAACTTGGACTCTCCCTAAACGTCCGATCTATGACCAACACGAAATCTACGTGTTCCACGAGAAGTTAACACTTTTTTATTGCTTACATGGGTGGACGAGCTCACAGACCACCTGGTGTTAAGTGGTTACTGGGCCCCATAGACATCTACGATGTAAATGCACCACCCACCTTGAGATATAAGTTCTAAGGTCTCAAGTATAAAGTTACACCGCCTGCCCCACCCTTCAAACCGAAACGCATTACTGCTTCACGGCAGAAATAGGCAGGGTGGTGGTACCTACCCGCGCAGACTCACAAGAGGTCCTACCACCAGTTAAAGTTCTGGTCTGCTTCCAAATGTCATAAAAAATAGCGCTTCCTGCAGGAAACGAAGCTGGTTGAAAGTCCTCGACCTCGAGTTTGTTTCCATTATCAATTCTTTCCATTATAAAAATTACGACAAAGTAAAAACTTTACATTCAGTAAAATCTTCAAAAAAAGAAAGATTTTGACTAACGAGTTTTCAGTTGTCGCAAAACTTTTTCAATGCATAAAAAAGCTCAACTGAAATAAATAAACGAAAAAATGTTTCTTGGAATTGAAAGTGATTTATGAGCGATGTTGGAAATTTTCACAGAATTTAAATTAAAATCTCAATTCTGCAAGTTCTTTTAGGGGCCTAGCAGTCAGTTCAAGGATCATATAAAATTTAGCATCATAAAAAATCATTTTAATTATTATTCTCATAATCCTCTCGCAGGTCTGCTGGAAGAGATTTCTTAAAGAAATAAGCAGGGCCTTTGTACATAATTTTCCTAGTACTCTGTCATCTTTTCTGTGTGTATATAAATAAATAAATAAAAAATAAAAAATTCATTCCTGCTCCTAGTGCGTCTCCTAGGGCGTCTAATGACAATATTAGCAGATTGAATGGATCTGTAAAGACATATCTAGGGCGTCGATAGTGACTGGCTCCTGCATGGGCCGCAGTCGAGAAGTAGTCAGCGACCACTACAATGAAGCGATTTTCATGACGCAACGCCTTATCGAATTACCTTTCCGATGCTAACTCTAGGTGTGGTCTGGTTGATTCGAGGCTCAGATCGACGTGAAGGTCAACGTTCCTCACGAATCATGGTGCTTCGATGGCTTCTTCTTTTTCTCCACCTTATCCCACTAGGTGGGGTCGGCACAGCTAATTTTTCTCTTCCATTCTCTTCTATCAGCCGTCATCTCAACACTCACTCCTCTCTCTCTCATATCGTCGTTCACACACTCCATCCATGTCTTTTTCGATCGACCTCTTCCCCCTCTACCTTGCACTACCATTTCCATACATCTCCTAATCACATGCATCTTCTCTCTACGCATCACATGTCCATACCACGCTAACCGTCCGCTCGATGGCTATCATTCAAAAACGGGATTGAAGGGACTGATGGGATTTTCGCGGGTGTGGCTTGCGTCAGTGAGCACCGCACTCGCACAAGTCTTTATAGGCCGTATGCAAGTTTTTTTTAGAGTAACCTTATTGCGAATGGACATTTAGTCTGCTTACCGATCCAGATCATAGGGTAAAATCTGAATGTCGTAGGTGCATCAAGGATGACTTCCAGATCCTTAACCTACCTGGCTCAGGTTATTGACTGTTCGAAGACGATGATGTGCATGTCCGCCTTCGGACAGCCGTATTTGTACTGAGTAAGGCTCGCACAAACAATGCGTTTAATCGTCACTATCAGTTCATTGTGGGTATCTCCAGTTTTACTTTTAAACAAACGGTGAAGGAATAACATCGTGTAATAAAAAGTCAAACCCGCAAAAATTATAATAGCTGGTGGTAGAACCTCTTGCGAGTCCGCACGGGTAGGTTACCACCGCCCCGCCTATTTCTGCAGTGAAGCAGTAATGCGTTTCGATTTGAAGAGTGGGGCAGCAGTTGTAACTATACTGAGACCTTAGAATTTATATCTCAAGGTGGGTGGTGTATTTACGTTGTAGATATCTATGCGCTCCAGTAACCAATTAACACCAGGTGGGCTGTGAGCTCGTTCACCCAAATAGCAATAAAAAAAATCACCCTCCAATGGTCCAAAAATTAACTCAACGTTTTAATAATTTAACGATTCAATCTCGCACCGATGCATATCGGTATTATTATATTGCGGTCTAAAATTGGATTTACGGCTATTAAGTTGCATTCCTATGTTACTGGAATAACCCGGACCACTGAAAACGCTTCCAGTACTTACTGTTCTATACATTTTATATGGTCATATCAACGTTAGTCAATAACTTGGTAGTAATTTTCGTCTCGCAATAAATGCCAATACTGAATTTATTACATAGCCCCTACCGGTTCGCCGTGTCGTAGCAAACAAAACCTGAATAAACAGCAATTAAAAATTTCAATACGTCAAGGAAAGACAAAATGTCGCCGTCGAAGTTGATTTTTTAGAATTAAACCAAATTTACCGATGACTGCAGTCCCGTTAGCAGTATGATAAACAATGTTTATGATTTGTAGATGACATTCGTGATTGTTACATACCATTTACGTCTCCCAGTCTAAATCTATACAGAAACATATTAAAATACTAGCTGACCCGGCAGACTTCGTAGTGCCTCAATCGATAAATAAAAGACACATCAAGGGGACACATCAAAGGAAAAACAAAATTATTTGTTTTTATATAATTCCGAGCTTTTTTTATATTTTCTTACCTTTTAAACCTTCCCTGGACTTCCACGATTAATTCAAGACCAAAATTAGCCAAATCGGTCCAGCCGTTCTCGAGTTTTAGCGAGACTAACGAACAGCAATTCATTTTTATATATAGAGATATCAAAATCTCGTCTAATAATTCTCAGTTCAGTCTATCAGCTTAGTCACGAAAATTTTATTAATCAATCTTTCTGAATTAGAATGTTGAAAATTGTATTTTCAAATTTAATTGTACCACAAAGCTCCATCCTTTGTTCCTATAATTAAGTTACGCATCTCATTTATTATAATCTTCTTCACAAATTGAAGATAATGAAAAATTTTAAAGTACATTTTAAAACGGAATTTAAGGTAACAATTATTTGAGCGAGCTACTAACTAAATAGTTCATACATGACGGATTTTATGCGGAAACTGACCGCG